ACTTTTACTTCCAGTTCTGTGGGCGTGGCCATGTGACTGGGTAGGCAAGGCTTTTTTTTTTTTGCAGCCCCCACCCGTTTTTGGGAGCTTCCTAGCCTCAGAAGAGCCCCGGGGGGGGGGGGGGGGTGTTTTTGCTCCCCTAAGGCTCCTCTGGGGCTCAGGAAGAAAAGGAACGGAGCATGGGAGGGGCATGCAGCGCCCCTCCAAGCTCCGTTTTGGGAGCTTCCTAGCCTCAGAAGAGCCTCGGGGTGTGTGTTTTTGCTCCCTTAAGGCTCCTCTGGGGCTCTGGAAGGCAAAAAATGGAGGGGGGCCTGAGCTCCTCCCTCCATTTTTTGCCTTCCTGGGCCTCAGCAAGGGGAATCCCGGCACAGCTGATCTTATCTACAGCTGATTATTGGGAAGGAAAAAAAAAAACAACCTTAGGTGAATGTCAGGTAGGCGGGCGGGGTGAGCGAGCATCAGGCGGGAGGGCAAACGGGTGGGGGGCGTGGCCAGCCAGAACTTACTACCGGTTCGACGACCCACTCCAAATTCTTGCTACCGGTTCGGCCGATGCGGTACGAACCAGCTGAATATCTCGGGCCTTTGGGAGGGTGAAAACAGAGTCCCCTAGGCTCTGGAGGCCCTCTGGAAGCTGGAAACAGGTCCGTTTCTGGACTTCCGGAAGGCCCATTTTTCCCCCTCCCAGAGCCTCTGCACAGACCCAGCACTTACTTACCTCCATCGAAAATGGGTCACGTGGAGACTCCTGGGAAGGGCGGAGCCGAGTGGGTGGGGCCAGTCAGTCGGTTCAAATACCGGTTCGGTGAACCAGATGCAAATTTAACATCTGGTTTGCCCGAACTGGTCCGAACCAGTAGAATCCCACCCCTGGGATTTAAAATGTAATTTCCAAATAAGGAACCATAAGAACTGTGGACAAACAGACACCAGCTCAATCAAAATAGGAAGGAACAATAAAAAAAATGCATGCAGAAAGAAGAAACTATGTAAGGGGAATTAACAGAATTTCCCATTTTACAACTGTTTGTACTCTTAAAATAGCCATAACTCCAAGCCCTGCTATCTTGGAGTTATAGGCTCTCATCTAATCCTGAGCTGATTTGCTTAGCTCCTGTAAGGTTCAGTAAATTAAGGACCATTGTTTTTATCAGTAGTTTCATGAATTTGTTCAATTATCATACCCAATTTTTCCTCTGGGAACCCATCACAGGTTGCTATTTTAGAAACATAATGTGGACAGGTTCTTGATTGAAGCAAAGAGTTCATTCTGTGATTTTAACTTCCCCCTTCCTTTCCTTTCCTTTCCTTTCCTTTCCTTTCCTTTCCTTTCTTTTCCTTTCCTTTCCTTTCCTTTCCTTTCCTTTCCTTTCCTTTCCTTTCCTTTCCTTTCCTTTCCTTTCCTTTCCCTTCTTACATTTTGTAGTTGTTTATTTGTTTAGCAAATTTTTATGGTCACCAGTCTCAGATATGTGACTCCAAATAGTTGACAATTAAAAACAAAATACTTTAAAAGCAGTATAAAAGAACCAAAATGTTTAAAGCAATATTAATTCCAAATACACTTCAGTGAGTGGGTGGGTAACTATGGACTAGAAGCCTTTGAAAATTGCCTTTGAAACATCATGTTCGGTCTTTATTAATTGTCATGGCAATTCAGTTGTCATCAGTGAACCAGAACTATAAATTTGCTATCTGATGAGACTATTGTGGATGTTAATTACAAAAACGGGACTTGGCAAACCTCCAGGGTTTCATAAAAGTCAGTGATTGATGATAGAGATAATTAAAATATGGATGCTTCATTTTCCTTGCCCAGAAAACGCCACTCTCCAAAACTGCAAAAAAATGCCAATGAACAAGAAAACATAGAATCAACAGAAATTAAGAACACATCAAATCAAGATGGCTCCCAGAGCCCAAACATAAAAAGAAGGAATAAATGCCCCCAAACAAGAATTTCCCACCCAACATATTGAAAGCATCAAGTTGATGAACACTATCAAATCTATTTTACATATTAAAAAGTCAGAAAACAGAGTGCTAAAATATTTGAATACCTAAAACCCCTATGATAAGGAATTTGGAAATCTGGGGTCCACTGATTTAAGTAAGGTAGACCCTGAGTTATGACCATTTGCTTAGTGACAAGAGTTTAATGACAAGAGTTTAGCTACAAGAGCAATCCTGTGTGATTCTCCATCCTTGAGGAAAAATGCCAGGTGTATACAGCAGGACGGCATATGTTTTCAGAGTATTGCAGTGTAAATTCAGTGCCAGAAAAGTAAATACAGATTATTTAAGCTTCTTTATAAACACATAAAGTAAATTTTACAATACCAGTTGTAGATTTCTCTAACATGGAGCAAACTCAAACAGAAGCAGGTTCAGAGCAGAATAGCAACTCAAGAGCTCAGAAACAGACATCAGTTTCACTTTAGTTCAGCAGGCAAGCAAGCAAATTAGTTTCATTTTCAATAGACAAGACTCAGAGCTTAACATAGCTTCAGAGCTTAATATAGAGCCATGCCTAGGCTACTTCTAGTTTCAGTTTCCAAACAGTCTTCATTGGCTGCCTTAGTTGCTATGCCTATTCATTGGCTGACCTTGTTACCATGCTCTATTCCAGTTCATGAATATACAATATGCTTGATTTTCCCACTCATTTATCAGTTTGGTCTAATCCTACAGTACAGATAATCCTCAACTTGCAACTATTTGTTTAGTGACCATTCGAAGTTGCAGTGGCAATGAAAACAGTGACTCATGACTGGTCCTTATTTACGATCGTCATGGCATCCCCCAGTTGTGGGAACAAAATTTGGGTGCTTGGAAGCTAGCATGTATTTACAACAGTTGTGGGGTCACATGATGATTGTTGTTTGTGATCTTCCCACTGATTTCTGACAAGCAAAGTCCATGGAGGAAGCCCGATTAACTTAGCGACTGCAGCAAAAAAAGGCTGTAAAATTGGGTGTGGTCATGTGATCATATGGCTTAGCGAAGGAAATTCTGGTCCCAAATTTGGTCGTAAGTTAAAATTACCTGTAGATGATCTTTATTCTATATAGTACCAGTTGCATGTGTAGTAATGGGGCCAGACCAGACGGTTTACAAAGAAATATGAGAAAACTGTGATTGGAAGAATTGATGGGGAGAGGCTGAACAAGAAGTGAAGCCAAGAAAGATGAAAGCAGCAGAGCAGGAACAACACAATGTGGTCTCCCTGAGTACAGATCAGAGGTGGGTATAAAGCAGGTTCTGACCAGTTCTGGAGAACCGGTAGCGGACATTTTGAGTAGTTTGGACAACTGGCAAATACCACCTCTGACTGGCCCCGCCCCCATCTCTTCTCTGCCTCCCATCAAGTCCCAGCTGATCGGCTGGGTCTTCTTTGGTTGCCCTACACAGGAGAACGGAGCTGGAAAGCAGGTTAGTGGGGTGGGGAGGGAATAGGATTTTGCAGTAACCTTCCCCCAGGAGTGGAGAGGGAATGGGAATTTTACAGTATCCTTCCCCTGCCATGCTCACCAAGCCACGCCCGCAGAACCGGTGGTAATATTTTTTGAATCCCACCGCTGGTACAGATAGTTCTTGATTTATGACCATAACCGAGCCCAGAATTACAGTTCATTAAGTCACTGCAGTTGTTAAGTTTTGTGCCATTTTATCACCTTTTTGGCCACAGTTGTTAAGTGAATCATGTCATTAAGCAAATTCATCATATTTCATATTTCTCCATCGACTTTATTTGTTGGAAGCCAACTGGGAAAGTTACAAGTGTGATTACATTGACTTCAGAACAGTGCAAATAAATCCAGGCCAGTTGCCAAGTGCCCAAATTTTGACCACAGGACCCTGGAGATGCTGCATCGATCATAAGTGTAAAAAACAATTTTTTTCAGGGCCATTGTGACTTTGAACCGTTACTAAATGAATGGTAGTAAGTCAAGGATTATTTGTACAAAAAAATTCAACTAAAGTAGAACATGGCCATAAAATAAAGAAGGACTTTGAAATTTCTAAATGATAGCAAGGAAAGAAATCTATAGGGTGCCCCTCTTCCCACGGTGCTTCTTATGTTAGTAGGTAATCCATTCCTGACTTTTTTCTTGCTTTGTTAAACAAATTAAGAATGAATGAAATTTAGGAGGTATGTCATTTTGGAAGAGATAGCACTAGCAATAGAATTTAGATTTATATACTGTCCTTTAGTACAGTGGCCCCCAACCTTTTTTGTGCCACGGCCCGGTACCGGCATCACAAAATGATCCGCGGCCCGGTAATGGCATCAGCTTGCATGACAAGGCAAGCCGAGCGACCGGCCAGCCAGCCGTCCCCTGTTTCTCCCCGCCACCTTCAACTCCTCCTTTGTACCTTTGTCGATGGGCTTCGCTTCGGGACAGCTTCGGGACGGTCGCTCGGCTCGCCTTGCCTTGGGTGCTGAAAGAATCCTCGCGCCTTAGTTTCGTTCAAAGCCCCCACCCCTTCGATGAAACTAAGGCGCGAGGATTCCTTCAGGACCCAAACGCCGCTTTCCAACTGGAAAAGCTCACCCGGAAGCACTTTCTCGTCAAACAAGATGGCGGCAAACCGGCGGCCCGGTAGGAAATGTTCCACGGCCTGGTACCGGTCCACGGCCTGGTGGTTGGGGACCCCTGCTTTAGTACTTTACAGCCCTCTCTAAACAGTTTACAGAGTCAGCATATTGCCCACAACAATCTGAATCCTTATTTTACTGACCTCGGAAAAACGGAAGGCTGAGCCAACCTTGAGTCAGTCAGGATCGAACTCCTGGCAGTCAGCAAAATTAGCCTGCAATACTGCATTCTGACCACTGCGCCACCACGGCTCTTAGAGGCGATTGATTGGGAGATTTAATTGTTCTCATGAGAGGAGAGGCAGACATTTTCATGGAAGAAGCCACTTCTTATAAACATCACCCCAAAGACTCAAACCAATGATCCTTTATTGTTCTGTTTCTTTTTTTTTAAATATAGTTTCCTCTTCATTGTCATGACCTCCTTGGAAGAGAAGACAGTGACGCTGATGAAGTGTCATCCAATGTGAGAAAGCATGCAACTACTCCATAAAACTCTTGGCAGGGAACTCTTAAAGCAGGGGTGTCAAACTCGATTTCACTGAAGGTCGCATCAGGGTTGTGTTTGATCTTGGGTGGGGGGCAGGAGCGTGTGGCCAGCTCGATGTAACTTGTGTTGGGACGCCTGTGGTGGCCTGAGCACTCTGACAGCAAAAACTGGCTCCCGAGTGCCGTTTCTGGCTGCAACGGCCTCCTGCAACCCTCTGCCAGCAAAAACGGAGCTCGGAAGGGCTACACACAGCTCTCCAGAGCTCCGTTTCACTGACTGTTCCTTTGCTGTTTCCAGAGCAGCCCCGCAGAGGCTGTTCCTTTGCTGTTTCCAGAGCAGCCCCGCAGGACTGCTGAGCTGGATCCGGCCGCCAGGCCTTGAGTTTGACACCCCTGGCCTAAAGGGATCTATATTTTTAGGCTGTAAAATTCATGATTTTCCTTAAAAGCATTTGGCTTAAGATTTTTTTAGCATTAGCATTAGATCCTACCATGTTATGCAACATACTGGGGAGCAAGGGAACTCTAGTAATTTACAGTTTTGGGTGAGTACGTCAGTGTGCTTCCAGTGTGATGTTTAAAGTCTTTTAAAGTTGTCTGTGAACTTTCTTCACCATGTGTTTCGGGGCCGTTTGGCATCCGGGGTGGGTGGATGTCCATCTCATTGCCATCTTGGGAATTTGATTATTCTTCGTACGGGATATTTGACCTGCATGTTGGAGTCTTCTACACGCAACTATACTATGTCATTTGCAGAAGAAACTCCTTTGGAGCACTTCTTCCTTAGTAACACGGTCCAAATAGTGGATTTTTAGGATTCAGCGATTCGATTTGTTGGAAGTCGTTGAGTATTTTGTTAATACTTGCTGACGCCTCTCACTGGCATAAATAGCATAAAGAGAGGCAAGCAAATGTAATTTAAGTTTCAGTGATATACGTGACCTTAGCTGGTTGGGTGACTTTCTCTTAGCCCAACCCACTTCAAAGGATTATTATTGTGGTAAAAATAGGGAGAGGAAAGAATATGATTTATATTCAGCACCTTGAGTTATTTAGAAAAATGATAAAAGCAGAGTATAAATAAACACTTAAGTAAAAATCAAATAAATGGACACTCCTTTGCTGCCAGGGACACAGAAAGAAAATCGTGTTCTTTCCCCCTCACCCTGAATTGACAGCAAAGCCACACAACCAATAGATTCTCCTTAAGTGTAGCAGTGGTGATTTTGCTAAATTGATGCTGTTTGCATCCATAAACAGATCTTGCTTCGGTGTCATCAGAGAACGGTCTCCTTCCCGCTATTTAAAAACAAAAAACAGGCTTCTAACACAAACCTCTTAAAGTAGAGATATTTTCTTACGTTTCCCACACTTTTACGCTCTGCTCTTCCCGCCCCAGTAACTTTGATGCAGACTGGATAATGTTCTCCCTCCCCCCCCCCCCCCCGAATCCTGAAGCCTGGCTCTTGTTGGGCTTAGAGACTTTCACACACCTGGAGAATGGTTATCCTTTCTCTCAGGGCGATTCCCGTTTTCCTCTCTTTATAAAGTTAAAAGAGGAGCCTGCAGGATGCTCCTGAGCATCTCTAGGCAGACTCAGGTTTGCCACTTCGTGCCCAGGGAACTCTCCTGGCTTCCCATCGGTATGCCCTGACATCAGACCAATTGCTCTCTCCTCGGGGAGTTCAGAGGATACCCAGACACCGGTTCCCATCTGTTGGGGGAGCAGCATCGTCACTTCCTGGGCTTGAAAGCATTTTGAGTTTTTTTTCCCTCCCTCTAGTTTATACCCCATTCTCAGACATCCCCCAAAGAAGATTATTATTATTTTCTTAAGTGCTTTTCTGTGGTTATTTCAACCCAAGGTGCAGGATTGTTCTGAATCGTAAGTAATGCATGAGTCATCGGTATTATGTTTTCCTGCCGGAGGAAAAGCAGGCAAAACTGCCTGTGCCGGGGGAGACATCTATATTTTAGAATAAGGGGTTTTGAAAGAGAGAGAGAGAGAGATCAGACGTGGGAAAGGGGTAGTAATCCTTGTTCGTTTTGATGAAGTGGATGGTTTTTGTTTGGGTTACAAGTCTAACTGGCACGGTGATGCTTTCCTTAATTACAGAAAATGAAAGGTTGCATGCATCGTGGTCTTGCCCTGGTGGTTTGCCACCCATAACTCCCCCTCCCCTTTTTTACAACTAGAGCAAAAGATCTGACAGGGGACCCATGGGGAGAAGCAAAGAGGGAGGGAGCACGGAGTACTGTCTGTATGAAAATATTTTGATGTTCTTTTAACCATCTGTTCTCTGCAGTAGCATTCGCCTCGCTCTGCTCGCTCAGCTGAGCAGAAGCTGTCGGAGATTCCCAGCTAGTTGCTCTGTTTAAGAAATATCTACCTAACAATCTTAGGTTCGGGTCAGTTGGGAGTTGGGAGGCTGAGGATTTGACTTTCAAACATTCGCGCAGAAGAAGCAGAATGGAACTTCATGGCTTAGCAAAATTTGCAAGGCTGGGCAAACTCAGCTGTAGCTGCAAATTTGGGGCAGGCTAAAACTACATGGAGGACAAACCAGCATCCTGTCCTAATGTTGGAGTGCTCTGGTGAAACCAGGAGTTTGGGAGAAGACAGGCTTGCCCAGATTGGCCTTGTGCAGCTATGACAGAAGTTCCTGTAGCCAAAAGCACACCTCACCTTTGAGGTTTTATTTTTATTTTTTTCATAATGGTGATTGATGCTCAGCTATGTCACCTTCATACTTTCACACAAGTTTGGAGAACTTGCTGTAGTAGTGTTGGGTGTTTTTTTTTTATATAGCATCACCTCAACTTTCTCTCTCCATTGTCCATTCTGGGTGGGTATTTTAATTGAGCAACATCGGGAGGATTACAGACCCTGCATTATTTTTTCCATGGCTTTGTGGACTTGCTTCATTGGAGTGATTGCCTGGAATTCTTCATTTATTCTTGAAAGAGAGGATGGGAATTGGAGGGATATAAAGAGAGGCAGGGGGAGGCAGGAGAAGAGTAAGAAACTTGGGGGGTTTGAACCTGGTTCTCTGGACCAAACAGCTATGGTTAAGCAAGCCAATAGAAATAGGCTGGTCATGTTTCTCAGTCCTGGCAAAATAGGTGACTTCAACTCTCAGAATTCCCCCATCTCAGGAATCTTCTCCAGCACCAACATCAAAGGCATTAATAATCTTCCTATCTTGCTTCTTCAGAGTCCATTTTTAATTTCCACAGAGTGTTACGGGGAATACTGTGGCTTGTACAATTCTTGTTTTTGTAGATGTACACATATCATGGGATCTGAATATTTTTTCTAGGGTCTCCATGGCCCTCTACCAGGTACTACCAACACCCTGCCAACAAAAGTGCGTAGAGTCAAGGCTGTGGTTTTCTCATTTGCAATGTATGGTTGCGAAAGTTGGACCACAAGAAAAGCTAAGCGCCAAAGAATGGAGGCCTTTGAACTCTGGTGCTGGAGGAGGAGACTCCTGCGAGTCCCTTGAACTGCAAGGTGATCAAACCGGTCAGTCCTAGAGGAGATCGACCCTGACTGCTCTTTAGAAGGCCGGATCCTGAAGTTGGCCACCTAATGAGAAGGAAGGACTCCCTGGAGAAGAGCCTAATGCTGGGAACGATTGAGGGCAAAAGAAGAAGGGGACGGCAGAGAAGGAGGTGGCTGGATGGAGTCACTGAAGCAATAGGCGTGAGCTTAAACGGACTCCGGGGGATGGCAGAGGACAGGAAGGCCTGGAGGAACGTTGTTCATGGGGTTGTGATAGGTCAGACACGACTTCGCAACTAACAAGAGCAAACCAAGTATTGGCCAGTGGCATATTTCTTGACTTCTTGTTCCTTTATTGTTGGTGGTTGATCCTACAAGGCAGAAGATACCCATTATTTCAATGTCTTCACTCTCTTTTTTAAGGCTGATTGTTCTACCTGATGCCCTTATTTTGGCCTTCTTTATATTTAATTCTAGTCCGGTGTTTTTCACTGTGTTCTTTGGTGTTTAGTACCAAGGCTTGCAGTCCTGGAATAGCAGAGAGTGCCCATTTCTGAGAGCAGCGAAATTAAGATAGGAATTCAGAGAAAGCTTACCTGCAGGTAAATCTAAAGCACCTGAAAAGCTTTAAAATTTACTTCATTGGGTCAGGACAGATTATCTTGTTCTGCTATTCCTTTTTTTTAAATTCACGGATAATGCCACTACATCACTGTGGCTTTTTAAAAGAAGCAGGATACATTCTGACCTGATTTTCACAACCATGCTGGATTTCATTAATGAAAAACAAGTCTCTGGAGCAAAGATAGTTCATTGTAGCCAGGCAGATAAACTTTTTATTCCCTTACTATGCTACAGGTTAATTTGAAGCTACTTTGTATATGGCTGTGTTCCTCAACCTTGGCATCTTTAAGAGGTGTGGATTTCAACTCCCAGCCAGCTATTGAAGTCCAGACCTTTTAAAAATGCTCTAGGCAGAGGAACACTGATACATAGAAAGCAGCACTGCAGAATGGAGCTACCTATTCCATCTGGCATGCAAATGGCACAAAGTGTTTTGGCTGAACCTTGGTTTATAGACTACATCCTGGACTTTGGAGGGGTGGGAACATAGCTTTATGGATTCCTTGTCACAAGTTCTGATAACAACCTTCATTTAAAAACACCAGAAGATTATAAATCAGGAGCTGTCCATCCTGGTTATCCACATGCTGGTTCTTCATATAGAGCAGGGATCTTCAAACTTGACAGCTTTAAGACTTGTGGACTTCAACTCCCAGAATTCCTCCTCCAGTCATGTTAGCTCAGGAATTCTGGGAGTTGAATTGCACAAGTCTTAAACTTGCCAGGTTTGAAGACCCTTGATTTAAAGGCTGTACATGAACAGCAGGTGGCAGCATTTAAATGATCTAGGCTAGGGCTAGGCTGATAGCAAAAAAACCTAAAGTCTTGGATGATGCACCACTAGGAAA